GCTCGACAATGGCCATCTTCCTCTGGTGTGTTCACATGGTCCTTCCTCTGTGTTTATCTGTGTCTTAATCTCCTCTTATAAGGTCACTAGTCATATTGGATCAGGGTCCACCCTAATGACCTCATTTTAGTTAATTACCTCTTTAAAGACCCTGTCTCTAAAGAAGGTCACATTCTGAGGTATTGGGATTTAGGATTTCAACATATCAATTTTGGAGGGACACAACTCAGCCCATATCAAATTCCAACTATGACCAAGCCCTTTTGTGCTTCCTGGGCATATCTCTAATCTTCATGACAATTATGCAAAATGGGTACTTTGACCCTCGTCATTCACGTCAGGAAACTCTTGTCATTCACGTCAGGAAACTGAGGCTCAGTCGGGTTAAATGTCTGGATCCTAATTATTAAGTGGTGGAGCTGAAATCAGAACACAAGCCTGTTTGGCGTCAAGGCTGCTGTTCTTTCCACTACAGGAAGCAGAGAATCACCTGAGCCCAAGGCCATCAAATTCATTCTCTTTCCAAGTTAGAGCTGCAATTGCTCTGCTCAGGAGAACAATGCCCTCCTGAGGACCACGCTGAGCCCATGTCACAAGCTGCTCAAGGGAACTTGCACAAGTGGCTCACGACACTGCTAAACGTCACCCTTTGGGCTGTTTTGTTGAAACAGAGCTGCTTCTGCTCACGCTGCTCCTGTTCTGCCTGAAATTCTTTCTTTTTCCATTAGACATTGAAGTATTGCCCATCCTTCAGGGTCTGGCAAGTGACCCTGGTCACTCCAAAGCTCATCCAAGGGCCTTCTGTCCTCAACTCCTGTCATGCTTATCACGTGCACACTACAAGTCACTTTGGCCACAGGCCAACTTGGGGATGGATCTGACTCTACTACCTACTAGCTGGGGGGCCCGGGTAGGTTCTGTAACCTGTCTGGGCCTTTAATATTTTCTCATCTCTGGATTAGGATTAAAATACCTACCTCACAGAGTTATTGGGAGAGATAAATAAATGAGTTGACATATTTATTGTACTTAGTTTAGCACTGTGCCTGATATATAGTAGGTATTTAGTAAAAATGTATCTTTCAAGCTTGCTTCCTTTTAGTTTATATTTCTTTAACTGTATGTTTCATGTCTTCCCAACAAGATTGAGAGCTTCTTGGGGCAAGGACTAGGAGTCATTTCAATTTGTGAATGCATAGCACAATTCTGGGCCAATAAAAAGTAGCTTGTATTCATTGGTCCAGAAGTGCTCAACACATTTGGCGCTATTTGAGATATAGAACACGAGCTGACAAAAGAGGATTTCAGGCAGAGAGCAATATAAGCAGAGGCAGCTGTCTCCATTTCAAAGGGAACAGAGCAGCCCAAAGGGTTACCAGTCCCATGAGCCACTGGTGGCTTCTGTTATATATCTCATATAGGCTTTTGGATTGCATCAACACTATTAGGTAGATCACCTCTGAGTCCAAACTCCCATTAATCCATTCATTCATCCACTGCTGATTGATTGCCTCTTAAATGCATCCCCCTGAAGATTCTGTTTCTACATAGCTTCTTTAGTAGAGGGAAAGCTATAGGTTGGTGATGGGAAGGGCCAGGGGTGTGCAGGGAAATGTAGAATGGAATGTTGAAGATGTGGATCTGGAGACCACATGTATCAGAAGCAGGTGGGGTAGACACCGACTCTCAGCTCCCATCCCCCGAAATTCTGATTTAATTGCTCTGGGATGATATTGAAACAACAAACAAACAAAAGAAACTCCCTAGGTGTTGGTTCTGATGCACAGCCAGGGATAAAAACCGCTGAAGCAGATGCTACACAAATGCTCCAGGAAACTGCCTTCCAGGGTGGTGGTACCTGGCAAGGCTCGAGGAGGGTTCATGTGCTGGGCTGGAGCTAGGAGCAGAGCCCTGGGCTGGAGGAAGGGGGAGACACCGGGCAGAGGCTGATCAAACATGGGCTCTCTTTCACCTCTTACCTTCCTACTTCCCGAGAGGAGAGTAACAAGACTAGACTCCCCGGGGACCAAGGATTCCAGGAGAGCCAGGAAGGCAGAGCTGTGTAGAGCTTAGGAAGTAAATCATTAGCAGAAAGAATCCCACTATTGCCCTATTTAGAAATAGCTTGGAGTCACAATTTGATGATGACCTCATAGATGTGATCATTTTGTGAACAGGCTTTGAACTTGCAAAGTACACAGACCCATTTATTCCTCTTCCTACTGCAAGTCTTGGTGGGTCAAGGCTGATGACGCGTTTCCAAAAGAGCAGTTGATCTTAAGCACTGGCCGTTTGTAAGATTTGGGAGAACTGTTTCCTGACGTGTTTCAGGCCCATTTCACAATGCCACCTCCTGCAGGAGGATGTCCTTAGAGACTGCTCCAAGGAACCCAGCCCCTCATCTTCCCAATGCCGGCTGCCGAGAATCCCGACGACCTATTCCTAGCATATGATGTCAGGGTGCTCGACTCCCCTCTCCCCAACTCCAGGGACAGGAAAATAGAGTCAGAGGAGGCCAGGAAGTTGGTCATCACCATAGGGTTGGGGCTGGGCATGAGAACATGTTTCCCAGCTTTTTCTAAGACACAGCTGGCTCACATTAGGTTGGCGAGTTTTAGTACAGAATGTTCAGGACTTATCATTTTAAAAGAGAAAGAAATTGGGAGTGATATCAGATCATTTTCTCTCTCTTGTTGTTCGTCTCTGTATCTCTTAGCGGTTATCTGTCCTTAACTCCAGGAATTTGGAGTAAACAAGAACCACTGCTCTAGGGGATTTACAACTAAGCGAGCGCTACTGAAGACACATTGCCGTGAATGTGGGATAATGCTCTTCACTTTTAACTGGATAAATTTGGACTTTTGTCTCCATTGTCATCACTCTTCTGCACCCAGAGAATCCCCTCCCCACAGTGGGGTCCTCCCTACTTCTCTATTTCTATTGACTTGTGATTTTTGTTGTCACCAAATACTTCCTTTGAGTGAAGAATGTTGATTTAGTCAAGAGCTGTCCTGGGGAAGGCTGGGGAAGATGGGGACAGTAGTCAGTAGTGGATGGTGGGCTATACAGAAGGACAAGATGTAGCCACTTAGGGACATTATAATTCTTTCTCACTCAACGAAAGGCCAACATTGGAGAATGGTGGAAAGATATGGAGTCAGCTTAGGTCCTTCTAATACCTGAGTCCCTCCATGGGTGTCACAAATTAAGGGAGGTTCATTAACCTTTCCATTACTAAGTCTCATCCCCTGATTAACTGCCTCAGTATGGAACCAGCCAACACTAAGTTGGGGCCTGAAAAAATTAAGTTGCCTCTTACATAACTCCATTCATCCTGGGAACAGTTGCTATCACCACACTGAACCAGCCTGCCCAATATCCACAAAAGCCCACACTCTTTCAATGAGGGAGAAAAAGCCTCAGGTAGAGAATTGAGCGATGAGTTGCTATGATTTCCCATCAGCAGACGCATCTGATCTCAAATATCTGTTCCTGTAACCCAAATTGCAAAACATTTTCCAAAAACCATCGAGTTGCAGAATTTTAAAAATGTATTTGATTGCCAGGTTTGCCAGTTGGGTCAGTTTACCAAGGCCTTATACTTCCCTCTTTTCAACTGGGGAAAAGGAAAAGGAGACAGCCGGCAGCTCGTGATTGAAACACAATTCTCTCCGGCATGTAAGTCTTGGCAGTCATTTCTGTGTTATCTTGGCTACGGTCGCCTGGCACTGTCTGCAGCGCCTGGGCCAAGGACTGCCCTTCCTGATGGTTGCCCTCTGGATTCCACCAGCAGTCAGAGTGAAAACCACAGCAGACCTCGCCCCTGGAGCTCTTCATGGCTTTTAGTTGCATTTGAGTCTCAGAAAAGTCTGCGAGGGAATTAGAGGAGGTGTCATTATCCCCATATCACAGATGGGGGAACTGAGACTCAGATAACTGACTTATTCGAGGAAACACAGCTAGCTTATAGTAATCCTGGATCCTAATCCCTACCCATTTCTTAGTCCAGTGCTCTTTTCAGAACACATGGACATAGGAAGGTCAGTAAGGGAAAGAGTTTCCACAAGGCAGTTTCTCCTGATCCCCAGACCCATAAGATTTGGGATTCTTCCATCTGATAGTCTTCTTTTTAATTGCCATAGTAAGTAATCTGGTCACCGAAAAACTTTGTTTTCATCACCATCATTATAAAACAATAGCTATCAAAAATCAACACATAGGCGTAGCCCATGGACAATAGTTTGGGGAAGGCCTCGGGAGGGGGCGTGAGCGAAGTGGAGGCGGGGGGAGGGGGGTCAGTACTTTCAACAATAAAGATAAATTAAAAAATGATAATAAAAAAAAGTATAAGAAAGAGAACAAATAATAAAATAAAAGCAATAGAAAATTTGCAAGAGGCAACAAAAATCAATACATAGAATGGGTCATATTATAATATTAATATTCTACACTACATACTATAAGACTATAAAATACAACTTATAATTTTATGGTTTAAGTCTAGGATTTTCCGTACTTATGGGTCATGAAGTCAATTTAATAAAACATTAAATTAAAAGAAAAAATAAGGATAGACGAGAATTGAAAATATCAGTGTTGCATGTAGCAAAGGTTAAGTATTAATCTCTTTTGTTCATATATTATGTGTACTGGATCCCAAGGTTAAAATTATTTCGTACTCTCCCTCTCTTTCCTCTTTCTCTTTTCTTGTTCCTTATCTCTCTCCTTCTCCATGTATAAAGAAAACGTACCCCAAAGCCTGCCACCTCTGTCCTATTTACAGGTACCATCACCCATCCTCCCCAACCCTCATCCTGCCTCACATTTCCTCGCCCAAGGGTCTGGAGTAGAGGCTGTTCTCAAGAGTAGATACCTAACGCACCTCCTTTCTCTGCTGAAAAGGTCCTTTTGTAGTGTGACCTTCGAGATAGGGTTTGCAAGTTCTCTCCATGTTTTATAAATAACTTGCTCTATCTTAAACCATCACATTTCCCTTTCAGGCAAAGCAACTCAAACTTGAAGAAATGAAACATCCAGGGAGAACCACATTGTGCTTCGTGATCCTTGTGATTTATTCTTCCCAAGTCACAGCGACCTGGAATATAGAGTCTACTATTCATCCTTTGGTGAGTAAATCCATGTCTGCTGTATTTTTCCTTGTCACATTTTTCTGATATCCTGGGAATATCACAGGCGGAAATGGCTTAAAAATTTTTTTAGGGTCTGTGAGAAAATGTTGTAAATGGGGGTAGGAGAGGTAAACCTAAATGGACAGTAGTGTATCTACTCATGGGTGACAACTTGTCTTGCTCTGAACTCAGGGGAACATCCCCCAGTCTTCCCTTTTTAACGAAACTGCCACCTCTAGGCCTGAAGCTGTACTCTGTGAAACAGACAACAGTGACTGTAAGGCAGATTTTGAGGATTGAAAAGGATGAATGTTCTCAAAGGATTCATTGTAACTTGAGCATCAGACTACAGCACATTTCAAAAGGTGTTCATTGTGTGTGATAATCATGGCTTGAGATAGCTAAAGGGGCAGAGATATCTTCAAGCTTTTTGTTGACAAATTATCCAGGTAGTTTTGTCTTTGGAAAGTTAATGGGAGTTTTCCTTAACTAAAGGGGTGATAAATGCTGTCTTATTATTATTTTTTTGGAAATTATTGGGTTATTCCTTCCTTAGCTTACTCCATGTGCCAGAGATAGAGTATGTTATGGGTTATGAAGCTTGGGAGACTAATGGAGTTCTCCCTGTGTTTCAGTTTCTTCCTCTATAAAACAATGATAATAATGGCACTGATTTCCTATGACTGCTGTGAGAATTAAATTAGTTAATATTTATAAGCTGCCTTAAAATAGTGCCTGGCACATATTAATTACTGTAGCACTGTTTGCTATTATTATTTCTTCTACTGTAATGTTTTTTTCTGCTGATTTTTTAAGAAGATATTTTAGTGCTACTTTATTTAGTCTGTCACCATTGTTATGGCTTCATTGGTTGATTTTACCCTTGGAGATGTCTCTTTTTGCTGTGCTTGGCCCCTTTTAATTTTAATTCGTTGTTCATCCTGTCTTTGTATTGTGTTCGCCCGATTTTTGTCCTTTATTTTTTGTTTAGCCTTTAATATATCACTTTGCTTTAATAGTTCTTTTATAAACTACATGTGTTTAAGGCTTTTTTCCCCCATTTAAATCAAACCTGAGTGAACCTGACTTTGATTGTGGTGTATAATTTATTCACGTTAATGTCATATTTAAAACGTTTGGTCCTACTTTCAGGATTTTGTTTTATGACTTTATGCATGTCCTATTTTCTGTTTTCATGTCTTTCATCATTTCACCTAGGTTTTCTTTGTCTTTTTTTTAATGTCTCTGCTGACTTGGGCGATATACTTTGTGTGCAGTGTGACCCGGACAATTATGTGCAGCAGTGTGCGCATATATGGTACACAGGGAGATGCTTACATTTCCTGTGGATTCACAGGGTCAAGTGCAGAGCTCTAGTTACCCCAGGCACGTGGGGAGAAAGCCAAAGCATGAGGGGATCACAGCAATGGGGTTAGCTTTACCTCTGCTCCAGGGTCCTAGTGCCCTCCCATTGTGCCAGGTTGGCCCTCATTGCAGAGGCCCTAGCAAAGCCTCTCCGTCTGCCTGGTGGCACAGGCTGTCAGGGGATAAGCCCCTGCTAGTAGACTTTGAACTTGATCTTCCTGGAAGGTCCCCTCCTTCCAAAAGGCCCCCCCTTTTTCTTCCTAGATCTGCATTCAAGATATAATATCTTCATACAGCCCAAAAGACCCCCATAGGAGAGGTACACTTGAGCCCTTCTCATCAGCTTACACTGCTCTAAGCTGCCACCCAGCTTCCATGGCTGGCCGTCTGTCATGTTAAATACATAGTGTTGAACTTTTAAAGGACAATTATAGCTTTTGAAATAAAATTCACCATTTTGACAATTTTTAAGTGTGTAGTTCAGTACTGTTAAATATACTCACATGGTCATGCAACCAATCTGCAGAACTTTTTCATTTTGCAAAACTGAACATCTATACCTTATAAATGGCAGCTCCCCACTGTCCCCTTCCCTCAGCACTTGGCAACCACTGTTCTACTTCCTGTCTCTATAATTTTGACTATTCCAAGTACTTCCTATAAGTGGAATTGCACAGTATTTGTCTTTTGGTGACTGGCTTATTTCACCTAGCATAATGTCCTAAAAAATGTATCTATGTGCTAATATGCATCAGAATTTAGTTCCTTTCTTAAGACTGAATAATGATCCACTGATGTATATCTACCTTCTCTTTATTCCTGTATCCATCAATGGACACTTGGGCTGCTTTCACCTCTTGGCCATTGTGAATAAAGCTACTATAAACATGGGTGTGCAAATAGGGGGAGGTGGGCTTTTGAGGTGGATGATGTACTTTCTCAAACTTCAATGTGCACATGAATCCACCTGGGGACCTTCTTAAAATGCAGATTTCAACTCAGGAAGGCTGGGGTGGGGCCCCAGATGTTGTATTTCCGACACTTATCCCTGTTCCAGTGAGCACACTTTCAGCAGCAAGGCTGTCCACTCTCAACTGTGGCCTCAACCCTGAGTCTGAAGCCCAGCTCTGACCCTCACTAGCTTTGGAAAGAGTCACATTTCTTTACCTACCTTAACCTGTTTCCCCTACATGATATGAGAATAAATAGTATCTCCTCATCAATTGGTTGGGAGGATTAAATGTCACGCACATGTACGTCTTAGCACAGTGACAGACACAGAGCAAGTACTTAAGATTTAGTAGTTATTTTTATTATTCAAGTACAAATAAACCTGTGTTAATTAATATGCTTGTGCGAGGAGAGATTCCAACAGGATCCTTGTTGAGGTAATATTTAATACTAGTGCCTGGGTGCATGGATTAGTGCACATTGAAAAGAAATTAATTAGAAGATGGCTGGTGGGGCGGAACCGGGTGAGACGGGCCAGACACACACTGGAGCCAACCTCCCATGGTCCCTCCCCAGCCAGCCACACCTGGGGCAGTGCTGTGGCTCAGCTCAAAGGTTGTCTGCAGAGTGAGTGGGGTCCCTCCGGCAGGTGGGTTTCCTCGGCCTGGCCTGCGGGGATCAGGCCGAAACCGGCTCTCTGACATCCCCCAAGGGGTCCCAGATTATGAGAGGGTGGTTCTCGGTTGAGCACCCCAGAATAGGGTTCCCTCCTCTCTGGTTCCGGTGTATCACCCAAGAACCGCAGCTGCCAAGTCACCACAGCTCAGCAGCTCCTGCATTGAGCGTCTGCCCCCTGGTGGTCAGTGCACATCATAGCTACCAGTCGGACAGTTGGACGGTCACTTAGCCTTTTATATATACAGAATGAGGCAAAGATCTTAAATCTGGGATTCCAGGTCAAGGCAAAGAGGAGTGAGGGACAGGGCCTTGACAAAGAAGGGTGAGATCTGGCAACAGCAGTGACCTTTGAGGACCCCTTATCATCAGGTTCCATGGGAATTTTCTTTCTACACATAAAAATCACCTCTTATTCCTGACTGACTGTCTACACCCTCTTCAGGCCACTGCCCCACCTCCGTGGTTGTTTGTAAAGTCATGTGGAACAGGTGGGGCGTTTCCTGGAATCGCTGACCTTGGGTCTCCTGGCTGAAGCTTGGCTGTCAAAAAATCCCCTCTGGAGGAGCTGGCCATTGTCGCTCAGACACTCGTCTGGGTACTTCTAGGTGGGCAAGCTGAGGGAAGCCCGGCTGGAGGCTCTGTTATCTCGTCCAAAGTAAACATCCATCTCAGCAGTGGGAGCCCCTGGCAGGAGCCCCTGGCAGGATCTATGTTCCCTCATGAGTCCTCAGCGCCCAAAGTTTAAGAAAAATGGGAAGTTCTGGAGTCTCAGAGGTCCTAGAACTGGGGTGACATGAGGACTCAGGAGGACGAAACTACCCCCACCCCCCATGAGCCCCAGGCCAGCTGGACACACGGACACACACACCACAGCTAGAGACTTCACACACATCTGGTGTTCCCCAGCCCAGTATCTTCCACAAGAAGCCTAGGCTTAGAGTGAGCACAGCTTTTCCAACCAGGAAAAGCAGCGGTGGTGGGATTCAGTTCCTGGTGAGACTCCAGTATTTGCCTCATGGAAGCCCAGGCCCCAAGACCTGGCAGCCAGTCCTCTGCTCCTTCTCAAACCTGGGAGAGCTACCACTACCATGGGGAAGCTCCTGGGAGGTTTTATTGCCTTCAGTATATTTTCCCTCCATTCCTCCCAAAGATTGCAGGGCTCACAATAAAATGTAGGTTATTCTCACAAAAAGCTGTGAATGCTCATTGGACAATAGAGAGGCAGTAGGTGACAGAGTTGTGGGAGCAGCAAACACTTTGCAAAGATGTTCCCTGAAAGTTCCCAATAATCACCAGAGAGTCAGGAACTAGTTCAGAAGCAGTGATTCTCAAAGGTTGGCCTCACATGAGAGGATATGTGGTTAAAAAGGCAGTTTTCTTCACACGCACCCCCTCCCAGACCTGCTAAATCAGATTGCAGAGAGGAGAGGCAAGTTACCCTTAAGTTCACAAAGGTTTCAAATACTTTGCATGAGAGCATTGCAATGTATCTTCATTTTAGCGGACGACTGCCAGCACCAACCTTTAGCCCCACTGGGAAATGGAGCAAATAACATCTCCACCTGGGACAGCTGACCAAAGGTCACCGCCAGTGGCCACCTTCTCCCGGGCTGAGTCTCCCAACTACAGCCCATGAAGTGTGGACCAAGAAAGCTTTTGATGGCCCCCACTCCCCACGCCCCACGGCCAGGCCCCAGGGAGGAGGGAGGCAGGAATGTAGCGGAAGACCCTTCCCCTCCGCCTGGGCACAGGGCCAATGCAGGCTCCAGGGGAAGCCGGCAGGAACCAGCCGTGGGTGTGGACGCTGCTCCTTTTGGGGTTGGTTTCTCATATTCAGCGCAGCTGAAATAACTTCACCGCGAGCGAAGGAGCACCTGGGCTTCTAAAATTCCAATCGTCACCCATCACTGCTCTAGTCATTCTTCAAGAACATTTATGAACTGTCAGGTACAGTTTCTTCCCAGTTCCCATGGATGTTAATACTCGTCATCGAAAAGAAGGGGGATGGGAAGAGGCAGTAGATAAAAAGTACAAGAGAAAGACAGAGTGGGTCCCTGAGACAAACCCACAATTTTCTGGAGAATCTCCTGATTAAATGATGCTTGTGTGGACAGCTGCAGACGTGGAGCCAGGCTAGCTAGGTTCAAATCCCGACTCTGCTATTTAAGGGCTGTGTGACCTTTGCCAGGTTATTGGACCTCTTTGTGCCTGTGTTTTCTCATCAGTGAAATGTGGGAAATGGCAGTACCATAGGCTGTCGTGAGAATTAAATAAGTTAGCATACATCGAGTGCTTAATAGTGTCTGGCACGGGGTGTTGAACACATCTTAGGAATTATTATTTTTGTTACCGTTATGATCTGAGATAACTAGGAAATAATAGTAGACAACGCAGATGGCAGAATGAGCTCTGCCTTGGGTGAGGTTCATAGGTGTGTGGAGTTCATGAGAAAGAACACACCTCTGTGGGCAGGAGTTGTCTGGGGAGGCCTCAGAAAGGCAGGGCTCTTCTATTGACCCTTAAAGGGGGTTCGGATTGGGAAGAACATCCACAGGGAGATCCACCTGGAGGCAGGCGTGAGCTAAGAGACCTGTTTCAGATCACGGTGTGGTTACCAGCTGTGGAGCTGGCATTGATCCCAACAGGAAAGCCCATCAATGTCAGTTCCTAAACCAGAAGCCACATGAGGACCGGAGATGAGCTTTACAGAGATGCAGCAGGAGCCATTTGCAGAAAGAGAGGCCCGTGGTCCATGGGAATGGTGCCCCAGAACAATGTGAAGCCCTGTCTCAGGATAGCATTTACTATGTCACCAAAACTAGTTTCGGTGCCGTAGATTTATTAAGCATTTGACAATCCCCTGACGCAGGCTATTTTTATCCCTATGTTATAGGTGAGTACTGAGCACAGAGAGGTGAAGTAACTTGCCCAAGGTCACACAGCCATTTTATGGCAGGGCTCAGATTTGAAGTCAATGTCTGCAGAGTCCTTGTTTTTAACTATCGTGCTTTGTGATATAATTAACATTTATTAAGAGCTTATTTACTATGTGCCACATTATAGTTCACTTAATTCTCATAACAATTCCATAAGGTCAGTACCATTATTATTCTGTTTTATAGAAAAGAAAACCGAGGCTTAGGGAGGACAAATAAATTCCTCAAAGTCACAAATAAATTCCTCAAAGTCACATAGCTAGTCAGTGGCACAGCTTTGTACCCAGGCAGGCTGACTCTGGAGCTGGCTCTCAGGGTCCCTGCCACAGAAAGCAACATCGGGAGAAAAAGGAGCCGGGAAGGAGAGAATAACTCCTAAGCATGGACCATCTAAATGGCCCTAATGCTGCAGGAGTACTCCCGTGGGGACAGGCGGAGTGCCAAGGAGAGGCCGTGAGACTTGTCGAAAAGGCCAAAGGAATGAGTCAGGGTTCTAGTCATGGGCAAGCAGCACAAGCTGAGGACACAGGATTTATACTTCTTGATAGGACTCACACTGCAGGAACTCTGAGAAACTCAGACACGGTGATGTCTTCCGCTCCTGGGTCTGGAGACTGGTCTATAGAAAGTGAATTCCCGGGTCATAGTACAGAGCCGAGTCCATGTCATTTTCCAACCACTGAGTTGCTTGTTCACCCCGCACTCACTCACTGGGCACAAGGTGTTAACCCCGACTCTGCAGCCCTAAACCCAGCTCTAACATGTGGGGCATGGGAGCAGAACACCATAGTGGAAAGACGTCTTTTCCACTAATTGACAATTTTCTAAAATGTTCTTTCAGAATCTCCAGGAGCATGGACTAGCAGGGGAGGAGCCACTGAGGCAGAAACGAGAGGGTATGTAAACTCTTTCTTGTCAATCACTTCTAGTGAGTCCATTACATGATATTGGCTCTAACTTTTCAAAACAGTGTGATCTACAATTCAGTCTCAATATCTAGAAGTAATTACAAAAAAACTCCATTCTCTACCAAATGGCATTAAAGGAATCTTAGCACATTCCGATGCCCCTTTCCCCTCCCACCCCCTGTGCCCGTCTCCTCAGCTGCCCTCCACCCCAAAAGCCTGCTTCTCTACTCTCAACCCTGCAGCCTTTCCTTTTGCCTTTTTAAAAACAAACAAACAAACAAAAACAACAACAATCTCTTTGATTATCACTTATCACTTTATATTCTGGATCCACTTAACCACTAGACCAGTGATGGCGAACCTATGACATCACTGTTTCTCTCTCTGTCTCTGTCACCTCTGACACGAAAACTCATTTTTTTGGTTGATTTTTCTTTGTTAAATGGCATTTAAATATATAAAATAAATATCAAAAATATAAGTCTTTGTTTTACTATGGTTGCAAATATCAAAAAATTTCTATATGTGACACGGCACCAGAGTTAAGTAAGGGTTATTCAAAATGCTGACACGCCGAGCTCAGAAGGTTCGCCATCACTGCACTAGACTCAAGTCCTTCTCCTCTGTCTCCCACTCTAATTTTCCCACTAAATTTCAAAAGCTGGTCTGGAAAATAGAGGGCTCTGCCCCTTGCAGGGTTGAGGCAGTGAGAGCTGTAAACACCTCCATGTTCAGTGATCCTTGGGGCCCTGTCCCACGTGCAGGACCTGGGCGGGTGTCAGTGTACATCTGCAGGCTGGTTTTTCCTAGAACCAGATTCTCCTACTTTTCTCATAGGAACCTTTCAAAAACATCATCCTGATGCTTTTATTTCCCTGCATAAAATTCTTCATGGGCTCCCAATTGCCTTGAAGATAAAATCCAACTACCTGCTTGGGTCCTACGGGATGGACCCTGCCTGCCTTTCCCACATGTTCTATTCCTGTTCCCTTTCACACAGCCAGTGCCCACCATCCCCCTTTGCTTGTTTAAGGGACTCTGACTTAAGTCTCAATTCACAGGGGTTACTGCCATGTAAGGTCTTCCATCAAATCCCAGACAGGGTGGGGCTGCTTTCTGGGTTCCCATTGCCCTTGATACATTCCCATAGCACAACAGTGTCCCAATGCTTTGTCATGCTGCTTCCTGTTTGTCATCCCCAGTAGACGTGAGCGCCCCTGAACTCTCTTCCTCGCCGTAGCCTGGCTTCTAGCCCAGTCTCTCAATAGGTGAGTGAACAAATGAAGCTAGAGTGCACGTCTCTGTATAGCTGCCCCTTTGTGAGTTCAGGGAATCTGTTCCTGTTGAGTCTGCTGGCCTGTGGCTACACCAACTGTGTAGAAGGTAGAACTTCTTATGTCTAGCATTGTGATGGGATCATTTTCCAGACGTGCTGTGACTTGCTCTGCTCAGTCTTGTGGTCTGAAAGACTGGCTGGGCTTCCGAAGGGAGTAGGCTTATCAGAGGTCAGGGTGGAGGTGTCTGTTAGAGCCCTCACAGCTCAGCAACCAGACCCCACTGCTGTGAAACTAGAACTTGACCACATTTTATCAAGCTCCCAAAATCCTCATTGGAAGGTCACACCACTGAGAATTTTCTTTTCCTTCCCTTATTTTTCTTTTCTTTTTCCTTTTCCTTTCTCTTCTCTTTCTGCTTCTGTTTTAGCCTTGTTTCCTATCCCTATGGGATCCCCACTCCCCCTTTCTTCCTTCCTTGCATGAAGTGGTCTGCAGCGCAGACGGCACTTTCTGTGCTTCAAAAGGAGTATCATTACGGCCCTAGCCCAGTAGGCTCAGTGGATAGAGCATCGGGTCCCAGGTTCGATTCTGGTCAAGGGCACGTACCTTGGTTGCAGGCTTGATCCCTGGCCCTGCTTCAGGCGTGTGCAGGAGGCAACCAATGGATGTCTCTCTCACATCAATATTTCTCTCTGTCTCTCCCCCTCCCTTCCACTCTCTCTACAAGTCAATGGAAAAATATCCTCAGGTGAGGATTAATATAAAAAATTAAAATAAAAAATAATAAAATAAAAAGAGCATCATTATGTCTACCCCCGCTTCCTGCCCCCTGTGACAGGCACAGGGCCACAGGTGCCCCATGCAGCAATTTAAAAGACTTTCCTTTTTAAAATCAAACTATTGGAGGGTGAGTTCTAGCCCCAGGTTCCTGCCAGCTTCTTCTAGGTCTTGGCTGCCCACTTCCCCAGGGGCAGTGGGGGACCCACAGCTGTAAAAGTAACATCTTCCTGCACTTCCCGCGGCTGTTTGTGACCCATGGCAACAGCACGAGAGGTTAGCCCTTGGGGAGGAAACCGCTTCCACATCTAAGGGTTTGACATTCCACAATTTTTCCAGACGTGCTTTCATTAAAAACTCTCATGATGATGATAAATCACCATGAAAACCTCTTTTCCATTTATTACATATGGTCCTCTGTGCTCTCACGCCTCCAGAGTCCTTTGGGATTTGTTAGTCACTCAACTCGCCATTTGCAGGAGATGGATTGGCCTCTGTACTTTTACTAAATGATTGAAATAAGAAATGGCCATGGAGCCCGTCAGCCCACAGACTGAAGGGTCTCATGTTCCATTCCTGGCCAAGGGCACGTACCTCGTTTGCAGGCTCACATCGATGTTTCTCTCTGTCACTCCCCCTCCTTCTACTCTCTCTAAAAATGAATGGGAAAAATATCCTTGAATGGGAAAAATATCCTTGGGTGAGGATTAACAGGAAAGAAGGAATGAAGGAATGAAGGAAGGAAGGAAGGGCCATGGAGAGGCCCTGGCACTATGCAACAGATACTTGAAACGTGAGTTGCAGTTAAGAGTGTGACTATGAGAGGAAGCAATAGGAGGGTTACATGCAGCACAGGCCACACGGAGGTGTCTGTTCTGCTTGGTGTGTGAAGTTAGCGAGCTGAAAGCACTGCGCTCTGATTCTCAGAGTGGTATTCTCTTTCATGTATACGCGCAGCACCCTTTCTGGAGCCTTAACGCCAGAAAGGCTCATACAGTGGTTCCAAGAGAAAGAGAATTCTCAAAAGAAATTTTCTTTTGAGACACTGGGCCAAGTCTTTAGAGCTTGGGATAGAATTGTCTTTAAAGATTGGATCAATACTCATATTTATTCTGAGAACACTGTGGACTTTTTCCTAACTCATTTTGCTCAGTTATATAACTTCTTGAGCCCTATGATATATATTTATATCACACACACACATATATGTCACATCTATCACACAAAACCACATGTATACATAGAAATAGATACGTATACCAAATAATGTATTACATACATAGTACTATATGTATCACATTTATCACACACACACATCATATATATATATATATATATATATATATATATATATGCCTAATATGCTACGTGTCCGACCGTTCAACCATTCAACCAGTTGTTATGATGCTCACTGACCACCAGGGGACTGACTCTCTGACCAATAAGTTAGCTTGCTGCTGGGGTCGGCCGATTGGGACTGGGCGAGATGGGCCAGACACACCCTGGAGCCAACCTCCTGTGGTCCTTCCCTGGCCTCTAAAATATTTCTTCTAATTAATTTCCTTTCAATGTGCAAGAATTCACGCACTGGACCTCTATTATATTATAGCGTTGTGGAGGGGAATAAACAATATTGTGTACATATTATTTTTAAAAACGTTAATTGGGTTATCTGGGGGTTTATTTGTTTTTGTTTGTTTTAATACTTTATTTGCTAAAAACAAAGTCAACTAATTTACTTATAAAAACAATATTGTATTAGAAAGAACCTGAAATAGGCCTGGTTCAGAGAAGTTCCCATGTAACCACTAGAGTCAGGATGGATGCCATCACACAGGAGTCAGCATTTTAGGAAAACTGTTGTAAGACTCTGCTGGGAAGAGAAGCCTGCACAGAAGCCTCAGAGGCCTGAGCAGGAATGAGTGCACATTTGCCTGTAAAGCAGAGAGAAATAAGAAGGGGTCGAAGAATTATGTCCTGATGACACCAGGAAGTAGATTCTATCTAGACTGAGAGGCTGGCAGAGAGGAGGGACTGATGGAAGCCATCTGAAGGGAGAGCCACCCAGATGGTTTGGCTACATGAACTGGATGAGGAGGTTGCCCGGGAGACCAGCGAGGAGGCTCAGCAGTGCGGACGTCATTGGCTCCGGCCCCTGGGGTGAGACAGGAAAGGAGCAAAGGGAGCCCTGGTGAATGGCATTTTGAGAAGTGGACGAAAAGGACCTGGAGACAGATCTGATGTTGGGGTGAAGGGGAGGGATGGTCCAGGTGAACTTCCAGGAGCACAAACCTGGGTGCCTGGGGGATGTGGAGGCCACAGGTAGAAACAGGAGTGGGAATGAACATCTTATTTTGGAGGTTTGTCAACAAACTTGAAATTTAGTCTTAAGGGTAATCTTCATGGGGGACTGAAAGTCGAAGCTACTGGTCAAAGAAGTCACACAAATATGTCCCCTATGTCGATTTAGGAAATTGTCCACACCAGGTTTCTTCCAAGTTTGACTGGGAATCCACCTTCAGCCCTGGACTGAAGAGTCCTCACTGGTTTTAATTCAGCTTCAAAAGGAAAGATCCGTAGGAGACAACATTTCAAAAAAAGAGATCAAGCATGTCCTATCCCTGTGCAGGAGGTGCTTACCTTTACACCTATTCAGTGGGAGCGAGGCTCCTACCTCGCTGGGTTGCTGGCCGCCTGTGCCTTTCTGCAGCCCTGGCAGCCCGGGTGTGTGGGCCCTTTTGATCTGGGTCCAGGAGATGCTATACATTTTCCAGGTTGAGAAACAGATTTGAGGGTTTTCATGGTTTTAATCTTTCCTGTGATAATAGGTGGCATGCAGTGCTCCGAGCAGGCCCCGGTGGTGGCAGAATAGGTGGCATGCAGTGCTCCGAGCAGGCCCCGGTGGTGGCAGAGCAAGATGATAAGGCCGTTTTC